CAGCGTCGAAAATTGGTCGCACACAATTTTGCTTCTTTTGAAAACAAAAAGTACAAAATTAAAATAAGCTTTACTTTGCACATTGTAGTTCTTTTCACGCTGCATCTCCTGGTATATTTTGTTTTTCTAAAACAACTTATTAAGTGATGCAAAAATGAAATGGAAAAAGGGCGTTTTTTTTGTCCGAGGGAGATAGATTTAATGTCGTCAATTTTTCTTTTTTTAATTAATGAAAAAGAGATGTTTTTTCAAAGATGAGTGCCAATTATTCCCTCTCTTAAAAATAGCTTCCGTATATTTAACTCTTCTTTTCTTCATATAAGTTAAATAATAAATTTGGAATATATTTCGTTGTTCTCTACTTATCATCGTCATAAAAGAGAAAAATCGTATAGCTTTTCAAGGCGTGCAAAATCCTTCCTTTAGCCCATAGTCACTGGAGTAACCGAACAAACTGTACAAAGGATAGAGCGTTTGGCCGATCTGTCTATACCATTGACATATTGAAGGGATCAGTACTATATTTATGTGGTTTTATCAGTGGCTCTTCTGTAACCGCTATGGGAGGGAAGGGGGAAGGAAACATCAAGTCATTTTATGTAGCTCTTCGTGGATGAATCTAAATAAAATATAGTCATGACATGTTTCATGATCGGTTCCATTGGATCGGATTTGTCCAATAATTTTTTACTGTGATGACAATAGAGATCTTGCAATTTTAGATGTTCACCTGTTGTTTGAATTGAGTGAATAGAGCCGATGTTTGTGCATTGAAATCGTCTTGCGCTAGTGGTTTTGTACTTACAAATTTTGTGCCATTAAATACTTCCACTGCATTCGTCACTATCTCAGTAGCCATATTACAAAACGTTTTAAGTTGTCCAAAAAGTACCTGACCAGTCACACGAAAGTCGCTTCCGAAGAAACCTGAACTAGTTGAATCATTTGAATTAATCAAATTCAAAGGCCAGTATTTGAGCCAACCATCGTTTTGAATAAATGTACTCGTACACACCTGATGGTACCGAGGCCAAATAATCATAATACTCGAATGGGTCACCGAAAGATGTTGACATGGACATGACAATGTTGATGGATATTTCTGATAAAGTTGTTCGAACTGTGGCAGTGTTGGATTGTGTGTAGTGACACTTGTTGTGCTTTGAATCACTGATGAATAAACAGTTACAATAAGGACACCCATACCGAGCAAAATGACATAGACACGAGTCGAATAAATTCCAAGACGAATATCTACCAGTGTTTTTTCAAACAAATTGAGTGTCATCAATTTTTTGCGGGCCTCGATGGAAAGTCTAGTAGTGCGATCTTTAATACCTATTTAATAAGAAGAAAAAAAGGAACCCATTGAATGCTAGAAAGGCAGACTTACTAGACTTCTTTTGATTGACTTCTAGTTTCGATTCATCGGTTTCTTGAGTGACTCTTGGTTGTCTCTTTTTAGTTAGAAACTGAACGATAGATGATGAAAGAATACGTATTGCAACGCTGAGTCCGCCAGTGAGACTGATCAGAGTTGTTATCATGTATATCATACTAAATCTTTGTGAATAGGAATACCTGCATACTTTTGGTGCACAAGCTTCAAAATAACCTTGAAAATCAGTCTTATTGTGAAAAGATTCGATCATTAACTTATCAAATATATCACTAATCAAAGTATTTGGATTGTAATCGGAAAAACCGGCTGTAGCATTGAGTGGAGTAACACTAATAAGATCACCCATCGAAGATAATACAAGAGTGAGACACGTCTGATTGAAGAAACATTCTAGTGTTGATGATAGCAACGAAGCTTGTGGAATACAGCCAGCTTGCATGCCACTAACAAAAAATAAAGGAGGCGGATATGGCCACAAGATCTCACCGGGTACCATTGATCCTGCTCTTGACCAGTTGAAAAAGCCAGACGGAAATTTACAATCGAACGTATCCAAACAAGTGCAAGTATCATTTGAGTTGATTGGTGGTGATGAAATATTGTATTCATTCACATAGTTCGCATAGGTTGCCAAGTAAGTGGAAAAACCATTGGCTCCTGGTATGTTTTTCACATAGAAGTTAGTTCGAAGTGACGAAAATATAAGATTTTGAGCCATACTCAACAACAACAATCGATTAGTACGACTAAAACCGATACTTGTTGTCGATTTTAGCTGTTCAACCTGTGTTGCTATTTGAATGTCAAAGGTAGCACGAAATAATGTGTTGCTTGAGATCATTTCTGATGAAAGAAATTGTTCAATAGCATCGAGAACAGTTGTATTAGCAGTACGGCAAAATAATGCAAGCACTTGGAATTGGGATGAAGAGATAAGACGAAAATCAAGTGGATAATTATCACTTATTGTCACACTGAACAGAGATAAAATCCATTCATCGCTGACAAATTTACTCGAGCACACTTGATGATATTCAGGACTAAATGCAAGGAATCGATCATATGGAATTGAGATTTGTGAACAGGGACATGAGAGTGTTGATGGATAATCGGTGGAAAGTTGCTCGAAAGTTGTTAAAGATGGTGACGAAACTGTTACAACGCGAGTCTGCGCACTGGTTCCAGTAAAAATGAGAAGAATGAGCACGGAAAGAGCAAAGAGAACGATATAGATTCGTGTAGCCAAGATTTGTTCGACAAGAGAGAATGATGTATTATCTTTGTAGAAATTGAGCTTACCAATGTGACCGATTACTCGTTGCCAAAGGTTAGATGGAGTATCGTTTGTAGTAGTCATTGCTGAAGGAAAAATGACTGTTTTACTTTTTTGTTTCAGTTGTCGGCAACGGAACAAGATGTCAAGTATTTTTTTTCTCTCTTTCACTTACTCTCATTCATTCAATTCTTCAAACAGACGCATCCTATAAAATGACTTTCTTCAATTTAATCAGCTACTCTCTAAGATTGTTGCAAGTGTCAAAAATTGACATTCTGAAAAATGAGAACTACCTTGCTCAATTACTCAGTGAGAACATTCTGTCGATTACAATAGCATTCAAAAATGATACATCTATATCGGAGTAGTTTCTAATTATTTTTCATAGTCATTTCATCGTATGAGTAGTCGTTCGTAGTTTCAAATTGATTTGGGTGTGGGTCCGTCTTCTCTTGTTCACACCCACCCCCATCCCCACCCACGATTAATTTGACCATTTTTCAGCAGATAATATCAACTGAAACGATCAAATTAGTCGCTCACAAATTTATTTAAACAGTATTTAAGAGAACAAGAGTTTCTCTCAAGAAAAGTTACATTTCAACGGAAGGATACATTCAGGGTGCTAGCAACGTCATTGAACAAAAGAAGATGCTACATTGCCGTAATAATTCGATTAAATGAATCTGTTTTTTGTACTTGTGATAGAGAACAACGTCAATTTTTTATTCATAAGCATAAAATTATCAAATATTTCTAGAAAGTAGCACTGTCAAAGTCTTCTTTCGAGTTGCTACAGTTAACATGTCGAATTTTTTCTTGGGTTTGTTTAATTTTGCTTCATTATTGTGAACTTTCAGTCATACAGACCTATTTCTCTTCATAAACATTTCTTTAACACGTCTGAAAAGTCCTGTATGTGGATGTGGGATACATGTATTTGCTTCGTCTTCACCTATGGCCACATCCACACCTTGTTTGACAAGATGCTTTGGAGATTTATGAAAATGTATGACCTCTTAATTCAACGGAAACAATCAATATAAAAGACTTCGAAAAATGACATGAGTCAATTACATGAATTGATTAGATTAAATAGATGAGAAAAAATATCAGAATGAATGAATGATGAAACAGCCAAAAGAATCATTGATGTAAATGTTTTTCAATAATTTTATTGCTTTGAAATTGTTAATAATGCTAAAATCTTTTACATTATTAATAAATTTTATTTCATTGAAAATCTATAATTGATAGTATTTCATGTAGGAAGTTTTCTGATGGACATGAGTGTGAGTATTGTGTGTGTTCATTCGAATACACAACCATATTTCATGATTATTTTTATGGTTTCAGTTGTAAAACAGATCATCAAACTACGTAATAGTATGCGAGAAAATATTGCTTTATTTAGAGGTTGTTGCACATCGATGAGGACTAAAAGTAAATATATATACGTAGCTATAGTTCCGTGGTTGTATAACATAACAGGAAAAGAACAAATTATTGTTACTCAGTCATTTAACAAAGGTGTATTTTTTCTAGTCATAAATGACACTTCTCAGTCAGACAAAGTCGATAACAAGACATAGTCTTATGTAGGGAAATGCGCACTTCCTTTTTTTAGGTTTTTGAAAATAAACATTTTTTCCGAGAAAAAAATGAGTCGGAAGATAATAATGTACATAAGCTTACTTTTTCTTCGAATTAGAACAACCTTTTCCAAAAGTAAACAGACTACATTTAAACGTTTTCGAAGTTGTCTGCTTGGATTTTGCAGGTGCGCATAATTGAAAATTCTTTTTGTATTGTCTTTTAAGAGAAAAAGTTTTCGAAGTATTCAACATGTATTAGAATGAAGAAACATAGCTGATATAAGAAAAATTAAATTTCTGTACAACTTTATTGCCGAAAATTTTCCACTAGTGTCAAACTCGAAACTTTAATTCAGTTGAGTTTTCAAGTTTCACATATATGGTTTTTTTTTAATGTATGCATACAGTGCGATATGTCTGAATAGAAATTAGTTCCTTGTCGTTTAACTCCTTTCACTCTATATACTAGTATAGTAGTATCTAATTGCTGAGTAAACAGTTGATCATTTTACTGCTCACAACAACATCAGTAGGATACATTTTCTTTTGGTACTATTCAACAAAATCGAATATATGTTGTCTTTCGTCTAAAATATAAGCTGACAAAAAAAGACGATTAAAAAGAAGTTCTCCTATTACATTGTTATACTATCAAATATGCTATTGATGTTTGCTTTGTGTTCAGTTGATTTTTTTAAATTCTGTTATATCGAACAGAAGAGTCAGAATCATTTTTGAATAATCCATCGACAAAAAAAACAAGCGAATAATGAAAGCTAGTTTTAGAAGAAAATGGTTCTTTTAAGCTTAGTAAAAGCCATACAACTAAAGATTTTGTTTATTTTAATTCGTAAGAAATTATCTTCACTAATCGTTTGAGATTTTTCTATGTTGTGCTCATAAGTTTTGTACAACATTCCACAATTCTATGAATAATGTTAACATGAAACAAAATGTCGCTTGAATCAGTTGTGATCACAACATATACATATATATATATAATATGATGAATAAATATGCATAAAAGACTAAAAACTAATTCTACATATATTATCTTTTTCAAGACGTTATGATGTTAACGTTTTTATAACACGAATGCTAAGCCACCATCCATAGATTTTCCAACAGTAATGAAGTACGAAACTATAGTTTCTTTTTTTTCTTCGTCATGCCATTATTCCGAGTATTATCCGTCACTTTCAGAGAAAAGCATAATATTTGCTGGCTTTATTTTTCTTTTTTCTATCTAACTCCTGACACATCTAGCGCTATTACTTTACCAATTCACAATAGTAAAATTAGCTGTTTATTTGTTTTCTTGATTTATTTATTCGCATAGTTGTGCGACGCCTTGTGGGAAATCCGAATAGGTTGGTTCGATTTTTATTTTTTTCTCCCGCATCATTGGGTTATTCTCGGAGTGATTGCTCACTTTATCGGAAAAATAGAAGATGTTAGTTTACTTTGTTGTTCTTCGATTAATTGCATATATAATGTATCTATTTCTTACTAGAGAAACACAGAAAGTTAATTTTTGTTTATTTTACATATTCCGACAGTTGCCGGAAATTTTACAAAAACAATAGAATGAAGAAAAAGCCGTCCTTTTCTTTTTTTTGTGTTATTTCGAGTATTGCTCGTCACTTTCAGAAAAAAATCTAAACAGTTAATCTTGTTTAGTTTTTCTCTTTTATCATTTAGTTATCCTGAGCGTAATTATTCATTCAATAAATAAAAACCAAATCACTTAGTCTCGTGTCCTTGTGTTCTGAGAGAAGTGGAAAGGGTAGATTTATTATCATTGTCTACGTTAAAGTATTCTAAAAATTCTTGCGCATTTTATAATAGAAATTTGATTGGAAAATTAATCTTGATTTTTTTCTTCATTTAGTTATTCTGCTATTTCCGCCGTGTATTGTAATCGAGCTTGAATAAGTAAACTAATTTTAGTCTGTTTCTTATCATGTAATTATTGCGATAGTTGTCCAATATCATATTAATATGAATTGAATAAGTTGGTTCTGTTTTGCTCTATTAATTACAGTGATAATTTGCCTTGGCCTTAGGACAGAAATAGAATAAATTAGTTTGCTTTTTTTCAATTTAGATCGAACAGGTATTTGACAAGCGTTTCATCTAAAGAATAGCATTAAATTACTTTACGTGTGTTTTCTGTTTGTAACTTGCTTTACTGATAACTGTTGCAGTTTTTATGGAGATGAGTGGAATAGAAGAATTCACTTTAGTTTTATTTCCGTCTTTGTTTTACTGAAAATTGTTTTTACCATGTTTATGATCTGTTATTGTCCATCATTTAGGTACTGTCATACTTCTCGACCATCTTTTGGAAGAAATAGAATGAATTATTTTACTTTAACTTTCTTTATCTTGATTCAGTTCTTCAGATATATGCATAGATGATGGTTTTTTTTCTCTTCTCTTCGAATAATTTTTCCTTTCAGTAGAAATAAATTTATCCATGGAGTATATTTACACATGGGCGTTTGGCACTAGCGAACTAACGTATGCTACTATACGACGTCAATTTGAAAATTCATAAGATTTACAAGCGACTTCTTAAGATCTTAGATTTTCATTTTAACTGCAGCTAAAATTTGTCAATACACAGCATCGATATTTAATACGCATGATACGACTACCAAAAGAATGAGAGAATTTATTTTATCTAGAAGAAATACCAATATTTTGCAATTATATTAAGCATTATGCAATAGTATCGATTTCATCGTACTATTTTCGATCTTGGATCTCTCTTGTTTGAACATGTTCGAATAGAATATCGATTACTCTATCAAACAATGTATTAGTTAATTTATTGTATTTCGTTCGCCAAAAAGAAGACATTTTTTTACCTAATCATTTCTAATTGTTGCGCCGTTAATCTTTTTGACAACTAATGTCTATTGAAATGCTGAAATCTTCTATCTATATTAAGAGGGATCGATCATTAAATTCTGTATCGAACTATATACCTTTTATTGAGTTTATTCTTAACATTTACTACTAATTGAATAATTTTTTTGCATGGTTTTTCGTGTATATTTTAAAGGCTTTTTCCTTTTTTCTTAAAGATACTTTAGTTATGTAAGCATGTAAAAGGTTTTTTATCGATATCGGGATAGAGCGTCAATTTCTGTATCGATCTATATAGTTGTAATTAAATTTCTGTGAGATCTGACAGGTTAAGTTTTTCGAAAATTTAAAAAAGTTCAGTTGTGTGTAGATAAAAAATGACTCCATTTTTAACAATAACATTTTATTCTCTTTAACTTCAAATGTATTTTGTTTATTATCTTCTTTACCGTCGAGTTTCATAGAGCACTTTTATATACAACGGTTTTCATGGTCAAAAAATTTAGTTTCAAACTCGTATGAGCGTTTATATTTTTTTATTCATTGCTTCTCAAATAAATCGAACGAAAACTATATCGCTCGATACTATCAGAAACAACATAATCAAGCTGTTGGTGGAAAAAATGAGTAACTATGACAGCATCGTTCAGCATAAATATGTTAGTTAACTAGTTTGAAACAGCATGTACTTATATATATAAGAATAACGAAAAATAGTATATACCAAAGTAAATTGTCACTGTTGAATAGTACAGCATCCGTTCAAGATATAGTATAGTCTATGGAGAATTTATTTTTGCAATGATTGACATTGCAAAAGTAAATTGTGTCACTGAACTGCGTGTAGTATCATGTCTGTCAGATACTGAAATTGTGCAATCCCGAATTTTTGCTGCTGTTGAAAAACTTATTATAAATTGTATTGCTCTCCTCAATAGATATGCAAATGTAGCCGTTCATTTCTCACGCACAATTTCTATGCGTACTGGACTTGTTTCCTATTCTATCTCTATATTGTCCTTTAGTTCAATGCGTCAGAGAGAAAAAGACCATCCGTGCATCTATTGGAACCAACGTATTGGTGGCCATTTTCTCGTTGTAAAAGAAGATGTGGGTTTGGATGCGAAACAACAGCACACTCTTACGCAGCCATGCACACACCCACCCATGTGTTTACATGGAATCAACAAGAGGAGTGAAAGAATATATTTGTACAATAATTTCTGTAGTGACTGTGCACACATTTCTTCATTGGTTTCTCTTTTCTGTCCATATTTGTCAATATTACAGGATAAACATTTAAATAATCTCTGATAAGAGTTCGATAGTGCGTTGCTGCTGCATTTGGTTTAAGCTTTCTTTCATTGAGTTTATTCAACGCATGTAATAAATCTGTTGAAGAATTAATTTGTAGAATAACTAAGAATTTGACAATATGAAGAAGAAAAAAATCTATAAAATATTTCTTCGTATTTTTGTCTTTTTTTGATAGATAGGAATTTCTTCGTATTGAAATGAAAGAACTCCTACTTTGATAGTGACGCATCGTAACCAGCAAAATCAAGTGAAAACAATGACAGACAAAGGCAAACCAATTAGTCCGACGAGCAATGGTGAGTGAAATAGCATCTGAAAGATCATTGATCTAAATATATCGGGACAAGTTCTTTTCGTTTATCTTCCATGATAGGATGCATTCAAACAAATCTTCAAAAGATAAAAAGTGGTGTCAGATTATACAATGAGTTAGATTTCATTTGTCATTGAGACAAGACTTAATATGAGTAAAGTTAACTTAGTCGGAACGGAAGCGACTGGCAACAATAAAAAAACTCACATCGATTGTATTTTCAATACAAATAGTTATCCTTTTTATTTTCCTCCACTTGAAGAACTATTCTTGGAGCAATCGTCATTTTAAAACATATTAGCAAAGAAGCCTTCTCTAAAGATAGGCTTTCTCTTTTGATTGAGAATTTTTCTCTCTAGGAAGTGAATCAGGACCATAGTTGAGTACTACATTAATACGTAGACGTTGCCAATAGTTAGATAGAGAGAAAAAAAAACAATATGCTTCCTAAATCATGATAACGAGCAATCGAATCTTGCCATTCGCTCATTTCTTTAATTTTAGCAACAAAAGCGGCTCAAATACCTCATCAACAATCTTCATCTTATGTTTATTATCCTCCTTTTCGTCATGATTATTTTGTTTGTACCGCTTGCGGTGCTTGTTCTTCTGGAGGAATTTATTCATCGGTTTGCGATGGTTGTGACGGTGTGACATCTGATCTTCCTCGCAATACCCGTCATCATTATCTTTGTACAGAATGTGCACAACGTCGACCGACTTGTACTTGCGATTCTACTCCAGTAATAGTTCGTCAGCCATCCAATTTCATCTTTCGTAATCCTCCGGAACATTGTTGGTGTAGATGTTGCACTTGTTGCAAATACTCTTGTGCGTGTTCATGTTGTCGCTACTTCTGTGAATGTTTATCGGCTACATGTACGCGTTACGAACCTTGTTGCTATTGCACTCGTCTATGTTGTCGAAATAGCACATGCTGTAAAACCCGACTTTGCTTCTGGTCATGGTGTCCGTGCATGTGTTCGCCACCTTAATCATCATGTCACCAATAATCGTCTGTCAATAGATAGGATTAACCGTGAACAGACTTAAAAGAAAATCAAATATTTAAATAAAATCTTCTTGCAGGTAATATCAACTGTTTTTTGTTTTGGCTCTATTCAGGGTGTGGGTGTTGGGGATTGCCGGGTGTGGATGTAGATGTCGGTAATCTGTTCATCGATACCAACACTCACAATCTCAGTTTCAAGCCGATGAAGTATTGTAATTCTCATATTGCTGATTTAACACACGAATTTAAGCTGTTAGAATAAAATCGATAAATGATATTTCACTCGATGAAGATTTACTCTCGGTATCTTTTTTCCTCAGTCAGGTGTCGATCAAGAATCAGTTTTATTTAGTAAATTGTTCATATGCAGCTTGTAAAACTGATCTAGATTCAAGTTAGTTCGAATGCATGTGGCAAATATCACGTAATTCTTTCTCACAAATTTCAATAGATGCATTGATATTTTTATCGTTTGATTCGATATAACTTCGAATTTGTTATTTTGAAAGAGCTGTCTTCAACTTTGCATTAGTCGGATTTCGTAAGATATTTTGATTTGTGAACGTTATTGCTTTTTTGCAGTTTTAGATTATAATAACTCTAGTCCTAAAGAATGGGCTCAGGTGCGAGTAACAACCAAACGACGAGATTGAATTCGATTCATCAATTAACAACACAAAATCCATTGGGACAGAAATCTCTGCAACTGCAATCGCAACCTGGAAGTTTCCTGTCACATTCACCTTCACCATTACCGAGAAATATGCATACGAAGCCAACAAAAGAAGGACCCAAATGGCCATTACCACCAGCTGCATTCAAGGAAGAATTTGCGCCGAATTGGCCTAGCGATCTTGAACGATACTCCGTAAAAAGGGCCTATGATGTAATGGTTAGTTGCCTTTTTCATTGATTAGTAGACATTGATTTGCTTTTTGAATGCTTAACGTAGAATGAATGATTGTGTGCCGAATTTTCTCTTGAAGAGTATAGATACGACATTTGAACAAGATATCAAATTCGATACAATACATATTGTATTTATAACAGAGAATGATGGGACAACAGAAAACCTGTTCCATCAAGAGTGACTAAGTGACTCTCTTCTGCCGTGCTCAGAATCTGACAATCCCATCGAGTTTACATCCTACTAACACCTTCTCAGTAGTGCCCAATCTAGTGTCATCAAGTCCCATCTACTGTTTTTTCGTCATGATATACTCTGTCATGAATGTACCATTAATTAATAAACCCAGAGAACCGAGAAACAACAAATTGCAGAAAACAGACACTACAAGGCAACATCATAAGATGTATTTTAGTGAGTGAAAAGAAATGCTTTCGAGTTTATTGACTCTTAAAAGTGCTCGTTGTTCTTTCACAGCATAGTCATCGTGGTTAAATATTCATGTCACAAGCCTCACGCATAATTCTCTGATCCAATTTTCAATTTGGCAAGTCAAACACGCTAATGGCTCATTTCTCGTTCATTTCGCTTGGAAAAAAGACATCATCTCTGATGACAGTCCATTTTCTTATTCATAAATTATACAAAATGAAATAGCTCAATGTTGTGAAGATAACAACTATTGCTATTTTGTACTTTCTTCTCATCGGACGAGACATACAGAGATTATTCATCGATAGTTCTGGCTATTCCGCATTTCATGTTTCAATCTTTTCACTCTGTTTGTCCTCTTCATATTCCGTCCCATCTTGGAACAAGATTGGTTCTGCACTTCGTCAATCTATAGTTCATACTTCAAATGATAGAATACCCATGCGCTTGAATCATAGATGTGGCTTGATCAATATTATGTCAAATGTTATGTTTTGTGACGATCGATATGAGCCGCGAGTAGAAGAGATTTGTCATTAAGAATGAAATTCTGTCTTTTTTCTCTATTTCTCGTTTTTCTCAGTCAACTTTTGATGTAGAGACTTCAGCGTACATTCAAAGTATTTGTCTTTCGATTCTGCGTAGAACTAAACAATAGTACAGAAAGACAACTTGTCGCATGAAATTTAGAAACAAATAGTATTCTACTTCAATGGGATAGGCAAAATTCTAAACATGTTTATCAGACAGTTTGACTGGACTTTCTCTTGTCTTGAAGAAATGGTAAAATCTATCTGATCAACTATTCGAATATAATTTCCTAAACTGTTAGTACCAGCGAGGGATGAAGAGAATTTCATGCAAATATTTGAAGTCGACAACCGAATTCTTGACAAACTTGATTCAAAAAGATCCGAACATCGTTTGAAAACTTCACAGAGAGAATTCAGTTTTGGTCATGTTTTGAAAAAATTAATCAAATGTTCAAAAGCTGTTTATTCCTAGCAGTATATTTTTGTCAAAATGAAAAATTAGAAAAGTGTTTTCGAAGAAAAAGTTTTATGGAAAAATCCTCACTAGAAATACTACATTACTATTACTTTTTATTGCTATTACTCGGCAGTTAGTAATCACATTTGTTACTTTTATTGCTTATTACTTGTCATAGAAATTCGCTTTGTATTTATAACTTTAATAATAACTACTGCGACTTTTATTACTTTCAAAGTTTTATTACTGATAATAAAATAATACAAATTTCAAAGCAATAAAAGTAATTAGTAATCAATAGGCCTGCGAAAGCTGATAATTGTTAGAGATGGCTCTTTTTTTAGAATAGGATTCATTGAACAGTTCTTTTCATAGGAATTCGGTGTACTAACAATGACAGTGTAACAATTCTACATAATACTTGTTCCGTTTATCAAGAATTCACTGATGTCCAGCATCAGTTCGGTTCTTTGATCGAGAACTGTCAGAGGTCTAATTATATAGTAATAACAAAACGATAAACATAATATGACACAGAGATAGTAGAAGTAGAACAGCTCAGCTCATAAGTTCAGATCAAATGAACGGAAAACTATTCGGATAGATCTGATTCTATCGAAAGAGCTGTTTGAAAAGTTAAGCTCTATAAACTGATCAGCCCGCAGTTGATAAGCAATACATGGTACTTCGAGAGCTACATCATACTATCACCTGCAATTTTCTAAGAGCTATCTAGGGGTGGCACTTAAAACTTGTCAAGACCTCTCTAGAGATGATGCTTAGGCTAAGCCATATTTCTGAATGCCATTTGATTAAAATAAATCTTCGGTTGTATCATCTAACCATTAAAATTGATAATAAAAGATCAGTAGCAACTACTTTGTTCGGTTATATTAAGTGTCAACGAACCAATTAAAACTTGAGATTAGGTTTAAGTTTCTTACTTTAACTCTTCACTTGAAATCGGATGATTATATAATTAGCCTGAGAGAAACATCGTTTTATTTTGATTGTTTTCTTATAAAAAGAAATCATTCGTTGTATTATTCTTTTTAACAAGAAAGGTCTTCGGGAAGAAATTTAGAACACATTTTTCTCAAAACATCAAATGTCTCCATTAGGAGGATTGATGATAAAGTCGATAGGAAAATTTTCCATGTGCGGAGTAAAATATAGGTTCTTTTTGCTTTCTAACCCACTTGTATCATGCTTTCTTTTTCGTATCTAGGCATCAAAGAATCCGAAAAAAATTAAAGTGTCCGACGAAAAAACAGGCAAGAGTAAAGAATTTCATCAGAAAGAAACAAGTACGAATCAATGGAAGATTGAGAATTCAAGTATTCATGATTCAGCTCATGTTCAATCATCGTTACGAACTCAGTCGCATGCATGCATCAATTTATCGACGACGCAAGAAATCAATGCATTATTAATTCGTCTAAGCGAGGTTCATTCACAACTTGATCTGAATATCGAAGAGCGAGGAAAAGTTATATCAGAACAATCAAAATTAATCATTGATGTAATTATTAATGATATACGTGACATGCAACAAAGTTTACTGACTTTTGCCAAGAAGCGACAGACAGTGCAAGATGAGTTATATAACGAATGGTTACAAATGTACGTTGTTGAATTAGATCAATGGAAATCTGCACGATTAGCCGAACTCCAAGAAGAATTGCAGACATATCAGAAAAAAATCATGATCCAATCGCAACAGTTGATTACCGAAGTTAACAGAGAAATGCACCAACTGCGAGATGAACTGCTCAAAATAGAACAAGTTAATGCATCCACAACAATTCAAGAGATTATTGAAAGAATACAGACGATGTCCACTCATCAACTAGGAACTGAAACCGTCACGAAAATCAATTTGATTATACATGGCAATGTCGGTACAAAAGTTGCTGGTCAAACTTCTACGTTTGATTTCGACCAGAACGACACTAATGACGATACAAATTCTGGGTCGAAAGCAAATCAATTGACAAAACAAGGTTTCACGAAATTGAATGGAGGGAGCTCAATTCAATTAGTTAAGACATCAACAGGTGTCACGACCACAACGCAACAGAAGAAACTCATTGCTAGAACAACAACCATCAGTGAAAATAACAATAAAGACTTAGGTGATTATGATGATCAATGAACATGGCGGTAAAATCAAGTTCTGTTCCAGAAACTCATTTTGCATGCTTGACGAATTTATAAATCGGAGTTTTTAGAAATAAAGGCATTGAGCATTACTCATTCGAATAACATTACAAAACAAGGGTAAATAATAAACTCTCGTTTTACGAATTTTAATTGAATACAGCGATACAGTGAGGGTATAAGAGTATAGTCGGGATACAATGAGGACCTAAAAAGATGCCGTTAAGATAATCATCGAAAAGATGCAATTATTACTCAGATATTTCTGCCTGAGCGATAAATAGAACATATCCAGTACGGATGGTATCAATATCCATGAAACTATATTGCAGAGTCAGCGTCTTTTAATTAGATTTTGTGGAATTGAAATATATTTTCGAAGAAAACAATGAGCGTAAGACTTAAGTCGCAGTTTTGTGGCTGTAGCCTTA